TTCTTCTTCTTCTTCTTATTCTCCTTCCTCCGTGATTCATAGTTTTATTGCGTGGATAGGTGTATCTTTATACATTTTTTAAAAACAAATATGATTGGTGTGGTTAGTGTATAGTGTAATTTTCAACACCTATTTTTCTGTTTGGATTTTCATGCTAGTAATTTTAACCATTTCTTGCAGAGTGTTTCCAGTGTAGTTGTTGGAACACATGTTTGGGTTGAGGATCCTGAGGTAGCTTGGATAGATGGAGAGGTTGTTGAAATCAATGGTGGAGATATTACAGTCAACTGTACATCAGCGGCAATTGTATGTTATTGCTTCATTTTCTCTTTGTCATTATCATCATCATCACTATTAGTTAACTAGTGACTTAACCTTTTAAGAAAATAACTTTAGAGTATGATGCTTTAGTATAATTTAAAACTGTTTATCTTGGAGAAACCTTTTCATCTTTTTGTTCTATAGTCCCCTATTCTAAGGTTCTGGAATTGGTACGTTCCAGAAATGTTCCTACTTATTCACAACTTTATTCCAAACTTACTTCCTACACACCCCTTTGAGCCAGAGCATACAAGTTATATGCACTAACCTTGTTACATAGCTAGTAGCAAGTACATGAAGATCGTTCCAAACCATAAAAAGGATGACATAATTTAAACTGGCATTCTTGATATCCACTTCGAACAATGATGAGCAACTCATGGCAGCCATATATAAAACCAGGATTGAGGATAAATCCGAGTTTTATATTTCTCTTAATCTGAATGAAAGAAGAATCAAGTACTAATAATACCAAAGTATTCTTTGAAGTCTTCCTGATGACATCAAGTGTGGCGTCAAAGAATAATGTCAAGTTTCTTGAATTCCTACTTGACAAAAACATTTGTACTCTATTTACAACTATATTCCACTTTTACTTGCCAAGGAGGCCTAATTATGCATCGTCTGTTTGCTCGACAATTTCTTTATTTTGTTTTTTTGAAAGAAAAAGTGCATTTATAGGCTCATAGCAAATGGTGGAAATCAAGGTACAGAAATTGAGTACTGAAAGACATAAGCCAGTTTGGCCAATTGCTCCGTGTATGACAACAAAGAGATGACTTTTCCATCAAATCAAATTTAAAAATATCATGAGCTACTACATTTGTTTTTTCTCACATATGTAGACATCTGTAGTATCATCACATAAACTTTTACAATCTTAAACCAAAACACATTTCGGATTCAGCATTTCAGCAGCAAGGTAGGCATTCTTAGTGCATTCACAGCAGTAAAGCAGGCTGATTCAACATTAATATTCTAGAATTGCAGCTATTTAGNTGTGTGTGTGTGTGTATTATCATTTCAATTTACGAAGTAATATTTTTTTAGGAAACATGCATGAAGTGCTGGTTGAGTTGCAGGGGATGGGCAGTGGTGGAAAGCTACAGATAGAGGTATGTCAATAGACTGATCTAATGCTCCACTTGACACATATTGAAGATGCACCCAATTACTTTTCTCTATAGTCTTCATATATATTCAACCTGTAAATAATTAAGATTCCCCATATTTTGTAATATACCCCCTCCATCCCCAAATATTTGTCATTTTAGCCAAAATTTTGTCCCAAAATAATATATACTCCCTTCGTCCGGAAATGATGTTCCCACTCTGCATTTTTTTTCGTCCGAAAATGATGTTCCCATTCTACTCTTTAACACATAAACTACCCAAAATACCCCCTACCCAAATACTCTATTTTTTCTCCCTTTCCTTTCTCACCCAATTCTTGACATTCCAACTTGTCCTCTCCCCCCACTCCTTTCTTATCTTCTTCCACCCTTTCCCTTTCTCTCTCGATCTCTCTCTCCACCTCTTCTCTCCCTTCTCTTTTCTCCCCCTCTCTTTTCTCGGCTTTTTTTTAAATCTCTAGATCCTTCTTCGGATCGGATCTTCTCCTTTTTTCTTCCCTAATCGGCCCTCTTTTTTCTCCAAGATTGCTCCTTTTTCTTCTTCTTACCCTTCTTTCTCATGTTTGATTGACTCTCAGATCTACAACCGATCTGTACCAGATATGACGGTGGCGATGGAAGCGATGGTAGGATCGGTGGTGATAGTGGGGCTAGGGACGACGGGGCATATGTTTTTCTTCTCCCCTTTATTACTCAATCTTTTTAGGTCTTAGATTTTGAGGCGAGTCTAATGGGATTGGCAATTGTGGCGGAGATTGAGAGATTGTGGGCGGCAGTGACGGTGGGGGGTGGGCGGCTGCGTTGATGGGTGGGAAGGCAGTGGTAGTGCCCTAACGAGGGCAGGGGCAATGCTAACAAAAAAGGGTATTTTTGACATTTACTTCTAATTGTCAACTCTCCTTAAAAATGAAGAAAAGTCAAACCAGGAACATCATTCCAAGACGGAGGGAGTACTTTTTTTTGGAATTCAATGCAAATTTTCAAATAATCTTCCAAAGTTGCCCGCATATACTAGTATTTTTTAATTTTTATTAAATGCTTTTGTATCTTGAAGTAGGGGTAAGGTCTATTCAACTGTGTTGTTGTTGCTTTTATATCCTGAAAATCAGGGAAAAAGTTAATACATAGATGAGTCATCTTATATGCCTCCGATTTCTCATCTGAAATGACAATTTTAGGGGAAGAGGGAGTATCTATATGGAACATTTTGGTAACATTCTTTTTCATCATTTTGCTATAGCATATTAAGAGCTTGTTCTCTTCGCCCGATCTGATTTTATTAAGGTCTGATCTGATTTGGTGATCTGATTAAAGTTATATTTGAAATTGTTTTTGATCTGATTTGATTCCAATATGAATAAGTAATAAGTAATAAGAATGAGTTGAAAAGAACAAGCTCTAAGTTTCTAGACTTTCTTACACACATAATACAATAATAGTCTGGATAGGAAGAACTCAAAAGCAGATGCCTTGAATCAAGGCCCGTGACTAAATCTTTAATGATGCACCAAACAACAATATCTTTCTCTTTAGAGTTTGGCTTTGCAAGCTATCTCCGTGGTAAAACCTTCTTGATGTAACAGCCACAGAGTCTATATATTTTTAAATTTCTGTTCTGATATTTGGTTGCAAATCCTACTACCATACAAGTGATACCACTTGACTTGTTATTATATCTAGTTATTTTATGGGTCTTTTTTGCGTGTGTACTCTCACTTAGCATATGAAACATTTCAGATTAAGTACAAGAGTTTTGATAAAGTTGAAGAGAGAAAGTGGTGGCACATTCCAATAATTACAGAACTTCTTGAGAAGAATGGTCTTGAATCTGCACTGAAGA